AAACCATTTCCACCTCGTGGTGTCCTTTCTTCGGGATCGCACGAGCCTCGCAGGTGACGGATTACATGGGGATGCCGGTGCCAACGCTCAAGAAGCAGGAGGACGGCAGCCTGGAGGTGGTGAAGCCCCGGGAGGACGTGGCCCCCATCTTCATCTGGGAGTCTAGCAGGTGCCGGGGGGGGGGGCTGGGTGGTGGGGTGGGGGCAAGAAGCAAGGGACATGCCCAAAAAGGCACAATTTCTGAAAGGCATGGGAAGGTCAATGCATAGGTGTCCTTTTTGGTTGTTTTGGTGGAAAAGCTATAGATGGCCCTGCTTTACTGGTTGGTTCAATCATCTACCCAGGGTCTTCCACTTCCCCCCAAAAGGATGCCTATGCTTCAATGGTCCTGAGTGGCCCCAATGGTCACTTGTCACTCATACTCACCAGGTGCTTTCCTGACCAAGGGGTGTTGAGACCAGGTCTGAGCAACATTTGTTAACACCCGACCGATTGAAGAACCACAAAAATCCAGTACTCGCTTTTCCCCAAAGCCTCAGGTGGCTTTGTTGCTTCTTGCTTGGAAAAGGGCCCAGGGCTGATGTTTCCCTCCAGGGATCCCGTTTTGACCTCACCTTGTGGACCAGTTCATGAAAATGAGTTTCTCCTTTCTCAGGGCCTTGGCCTTCCAGTGGCATCCACAGAACCGCTGTGCCCAGCTGTGCTTCCGGGCCTTGGGTCCAGAAGTCTGCTGAAACCCGGGAATTGAACAGGAGATGGCTGTGGGTCTCAAAAAAAGCCGGTATTCCAAAGTGGGTTGCCCGATCGGTAAGTGGAAACATGGACCAAAACCTGCGGTTTGCCCCTCCTGTTTAATTTTGAGCCACACCCATATGGTGGGTCTCAATGGGTGCAACCTGGCATGTCTTTTTTGGTTGCCCGATGTTGCCCGGATTTTTTCCGGGCCACCTGCTTGGGCGAAAGCAGACGGCGCAACGCCACCCACCTTTAGATTTAACCATCCCCCTGGTTGACATGCAGATATTTCGCGTGTGTCCATCAGGGTTGCTCTGAGACTTAAGATGATCAGACCTCAACAGTTCCTTAGCCGGCAGGGAATTTATCGAAGCAGTTCATCCAATTCCACGAGTCGTTTGTCTGCTTGGCCCCGCTGGCGCTTTCAGTGTGAAAAACAACAACGGATCGCGTAGACAACCCTCGGATCGCAAAGTCAAGGGGCTTGGAACGATCTGCGAGTTGCGCTTTCTCTACCGATGTCTTCTCTTCGAACCCCGTGGGGTTCGAACCGAAGCAAGGCTCACGCGCTCGCTGATGGTTCTTTGCTTTGTCAGAGGTTCCCTCATGTCCAGTTTGAGAATCATTACTTTTGCCAGCTTCTACACCAGCTGTTTGGCGAAAATCTCAATAGCTGCCCCCCTCCAACAAGTTGTTTTTTTGGGAGTCCTGTTGGATGTCAAGCCAAACTTGTCCAACACATCCCCGGGGACTGCCAAAAGCACCGCGAATCGTTTAGGATCCAACCTCCACTTGGCTGAAAAGGTGAAGCCTGAGGTGGGCCCCAACCTGTGGCTCGGCATTTGGATCCCGATCCGGATCCCGATCCCCAAAAGCTTTTGTTCCCTATGCAGTTCCCCACGCAAAGGTGAAATGGGGTTCCGAGCCATCCAGAAAACTGGAAGAGCTGGTCTCTACGAGCGCTTTTTGGGATTCCTTGAGAATGACTTTGAACTCCGGCCATCCATCCGCCTCTGGGTTTGTCTCCAAAGGTGTTGGGCGTGGTTTCCTTTTTGCTTCCCCTGTGGAAGGGTATAAACCACCCGGACCCCGGGACTGCTCCAAAAAAAGCGCATCAGGAGCATGATCAACCACGGGCCCACCTTGAAGTTCCACGGCCTAGTGAATCGCCTCAGCGGGGTGCACATGCGCCTTGGAGATTGGAGAGGACATGTTGGTCTCTTTAGGTTGTTTCAAGGGAAGCCAGAAGGACATTAACCACTTGGTTGTTTTCTTTGACTCGCAAGATCCGCACCCAGATCAGTGATGAAAAAGGGACTAGCTGACAAGCGCCAGTTTTGGGGGTCCCCGTTTTTAGATACTCTGCACGGGACCCCTCGGAAGCCTCTTACAAGCGAATACCAAACAAAAGGCCCGCGGTGCCGTCTCTGGGGGTACCTGAAGCGATCCATTGGACAAAGTCATCGCTCGGGTTGCCAAGCGAAGGGAGCGTTGTCACATCCCCATTCCGTAATTCATTTTGTAGGGATCCGCCCCTTTATGTTTTGGGCAAATAGGGCATTTAATGCAAGTTTCCAAGGTTTCTTTGGTAGGCAACATGAACATCATGGGTTTAGGCAACCCAACCCAAGCTCAACCGTGTTTGGGGCGGGTGGAAGACCGTCCCTGGTGTTTTTGGTGGACATGAAGGGAGACCAAGCTGGGGTTTCCTCCAAGGCAAGGTTTGAACCTGCAAAGCAACAGTCTCCCATCAAGTGGCTGTGGGTCAAAATGCGTACCCAAAATGGAACCCTGATAAATGGAACCAAAGACTAAAACCTGCGGTCCCCTGGTGGGTTTACTTTGACCCATACCCAAGTCCTCTACTTGTAACCCCCTGGTGCTCCTCCTTGGACTCTGCGATTGCAGGCACCAGCGATTGCCAGTCTTAGCGATTGCCAGTCATACACTTCCTTAGCCGTTTAGACTTTTGGACTTTAGAGGTGTTGCGACATACCACTAAACATTCAAGTTTTAGCGGGGGAACGAACCACACTAGAGTTTGTTCTTGTCCCTGGCTTCGACAAACGCCAAGCAGAAAGGAACTGATTGCACACCCCTGAGAAAGCCCATAGGTTGATAGCTTGCCCCATGTTTGATCTTCAGGAGGCTTCATTGAGGTGAGAAATGCTACTTCATGGATATATACAGTGTGGTATACTATACAACCTCCCCACACTTCCAACTACTCCAGTTGCTCTGATTGAAAGGGAGTTTGTGCTTGGGGGAAGTAGCGATTTTCCTCGAGGAACAATCAAGGGGGATGGATCGTTTGGCCCCATACAGGTTGGTGGCGTCTTTTGGGGGTTCCCTTGATATGGAAAAGCATCCCAAATGGGGATCTACATACATTTTTCACAATTCCAGGGACACAATCAGATTCTTACACATGCCCAAATAGAAAACCCGTACATATCCTTCGTGTACCGGGAAAAAATCCAGTGGTTGATTCCCCATTCTGTTCAACCATTTTGTTTCCAACAACCTACCATTTAATGTAGGTGTTTGGTGGTCTGGAAAGAAGGGTTTCATAAGTCTGTTCTTCTCGCGTGGGGGATGTTCGGGGACCGTGAGTGTCAAGAGACAAACTTCTATCCTTCCGTCCTCCAAAATCACCTAAGGGGGAACCCTTTCAAAGGGTTGGGTTACAGGAAATTCTACAGGAAAGCAGCCTTTTACTGTGTTTTGGGGCCATTTCCTGTAGAGTTTCCTGCAAACAAACCCTTTGAACCCTGGATCTCAACCTATCCAATTCCGATGTCCGAGGTTCACCAAGGTGGGCATGCTGGAGCTGATTCGCGAGCGTTGCATCGAGCGGGACATCCCCATCAACTTCCCTCCGCCCTGGCAACTTCCGCAGAGATCTTCCGTCTGAAGGCTGCGGCCCCTGTCATATGTTCATTTGGCCATATCTTCTTTTGAAGGTGTCCTTACTAATTTTAAAAGGGAAGACAAGGGCAAACCGCCCGTTTTGACCCTGCCTCCGATTCACCCATATGTCCGGACCTCGGCTTTTTCTCTTCTCCTGGAGTCTCATCTCGCCGTTGGCTTCCGTCAGGGCGGAGCAACAAAAATGGATCGATGCTGATTCCCCTTGGAAAGGGCACCCCCCTTTCAATCGGTTGGTTCCTGTTTTTGAGACCACCAAAAGGAGATGTTGAACAGCCATGGTTGACATCTGTTTAATCAAGGGGCTGGCCCCCACCCTGCTTCGCAGCTTGGGGGGACTTCCCAAACACACCCTTTCGCCGTTTAGTGAGCTGTCTCAAAATCGTTGAGAAGGAAGCCGAAAGGACAAGTCCCATTCCAATAAACCATTCCAGGTCTTTTGTGGGATCTTTTTGGATTGTTCCCAACCACGAAGAGTCACCCGTTTGAGCCACAATCCAAACCTGGATACCAAACACTTTTTTTTTCAATACTAATCAGGGTGGCTCTGATCAAAACAAGGACCAAGCGACAAGGGTAGACCATTGGTTATTGGTTCCTTTGGTTTCTCCATGGACCATCTTTCTTCTTTTGTGACCGGGTGTTCGGAGCAACCTGCTCATTTGCCAGAGGCGTCTCGTCTTCCAAAATCCGACATGGTCCACTTCCATGATTGTAAGAGGCAGTTGAAGAGTAGGGGACAGTCCCAGCCAGAGAAAAGTTTGGCCACCTGTGGTTTCTTTGTACTTTTTCGGGGTAGACCCCTTTACTTCAAGCTTGAGTGACAGGGCTGGAATTCGAGTCCCACTTTGAGTTTTGATGCCTCTCCACCCGAGACCCAAGCCGACCAGCAGCCGGCGCAGAGACATACACGAGGCATTTCGTTATTTATTTATTTTTTGGGGGGGACTCCATTGAAGTGAGAGGCATTTGCCCCGAAATCCCGATGTTCAACAAGAATGACCCAAGAGTACAGCACTTGAAATTGACCCTCAAACGATACTGTGGATGGACGAAATCCTGCACCACCTAATTAAGAGCCCTGGTTTCTGACTCGATTCCCCTGCAAATACCAAACGTTCTGGTTTCAACCGGTGCTCTCCTCGATGGGATGTCGACAGTCCACGGTGTGCGCACGCCTTGGCGCCGAGGTATCCCCTGACCTTCGTGCTGCCGGACGACCTGGAGCAGTGGAAGCGGCACGCGGAGTCCCACCCGCACAAGAAGCGCCTCGGGTTGCGACCGAGAAACCGGACTCCGTGCTCGGCAGCTCCGTTCGGATCAAATCGCTTTGGGGTTTCCTTTGGGGTGGGGAGGATAATTTTTGGTTTCGAATCCTTTGGTGGGCTTGGGCAAGTTTTGCTTCCGAGATTTTTGTTGGGCCCCACTGGGCCTTGGCACAACCCTCAGGTGACAATATGTTCACGACGTTGATGAGTCACCGATGGGGGGAATAATTTGTTGGGCGCGTGGGGGGGGGGGGGAGTGTTGATTCTCAAATTGGCTAGGCTGTATCTTTCTTGGAGTTGGCGCTCCGATTTTCAAGGGACTCCCCACAATGTCCGTACCTGGGAAGATCAAATCCTCTGAACTCCCGAGCACATACCAACTCGGGGTGAAGATGGGCCCTTCACTGGCCTTAATCGTTGCCTTGGGACGCAAAGGACCCTGGACAGATGACAGCGAGCTCCTCAGTGGGTAAAGCGAACTCAGATCCATGCAACGATGAGCCAGCAAAGGCGACCAAAGAAAACCAATCCCAAAGAGCTACGTAAAAGCTCAAACACCCCGGTATCTCATGAGTTCCCAGTAGTGGAACCATAGAATCTTAGCCCCTAGACCCGAACACAGTGCAGAAGGCTTTTGTACGGGTCTTCCCTTTGTTTTGGGTCGTACACACCCGGCAAGGGAATCCCAGGCCAAAAAACAAAGGAGGTCGCACCTTCGCGCGCTTTCTGTTCGACGCAGCGATTTATTGGTGCACTGCGTTTGGGGTCTGGCAAGTTCTATGAGTTGGTTTCCCGTCGATATGCCCGGGTGGGCACAGGGAATCCTACCCCGACAATCTCCGGAGGGAGGTGTGATGCGGACATTTGCGACATCCCTGACCACCTTCGGCTTGGTGGGTGTTCACCCTGCTGCAAGCTGAGAGCCCCAAACCACTCATGGCCCTGTTCTTGTGAGTGGTTCTGCCTAGCTTAGTGGGGATTCCAGTCAGGCGTATCATCATGTCTGAGGTCTCCTCCGAAACCATGTCATAGATATGTTTGGCCACTACGAAACAGAATCTGAAAACATCACTTGAGCCACAATCAAAGCCCAGGTAGATGAAGGTGTAGTTGCGGCCGCCTTCTTAATTCTTTCATGGTTCTGGGTCGCATTTTTGTACCGGGTTTTGATTGTGACTCACGTGCAGTGTACCCCGTTTTTTGTGTGGGCCAAGATGGCGCTCAGGTGGATCTACAAGCCCAATGGTGAGGCCATGGGCAGAGGCATCATCCTCGTAGGCCGCTGGGCCTTGGGGTGTTTCTTTCCGCTCGGATGGGGAGAGTCTCCATTTCGGAGGTGGGTACCATGTTAAAGGTTGGTTTAAAGGGAAATCAATCTTCAAAGGCTGGGTCCTGCAAAGTGGTTGCACTTCGAAGGGTTGACGCAATTGCTCTTGGGACCCAGCGGTTTGAATTTAAAACACGACTTAGGGGTAGTTTTTGAGACGTTGTCGTTTTCTTTTCATTTTTTTGGGGTGGGGTGGGGGGGTGGGGGGCGTTGTTGTAGGTTGGCTTAAATGGAAATTAGCAGGAGCAAATGGGTTCTGCGTCTCTGACCAAAGGGCCCCTTCAAGAGGCACTTGATCCTTGTGCCCCCCTCGCAGTTTGTGTCCTTCAGTTTGCAGGAGGAAGGATAGCATAGACTTGAACACCATGGGACAATGATTGGGATGGGGGGAGAGATGCGAATCTTATGGACCTGCAAGAGTCTAAATTTAAAACCCGCATTGAGTGATGGTCATTCGGCGATAGTAATCTAGATAGGTGGTTCTCAAAATAGGGGTCCGGAGTCCGGGGTCCAGCTTTTGGCTTTTGGATAATTTTGAGGAAAGACATCAACTACTTGAAGAGGTCCCCTAATTTTGAGAAATAAGCAATCATACGTGTAATGATTCAGTCCCTTTTATTAGGCTCCGGGCTTGGCATGGGTGTGACCGAATCGGCCCTTAGACCTTTTGGCTATGAATTCTATTCGGGAACCACCCCACCCCACAGTTCGTTGTTGGACGTGAATCACCTACATGGCTGTGGGTCAAAACCAATGGTACCATTTTGGAGCAGGTGCACCACCCATTTGAGTCGATTTTAGTGGTTGGATTGGGATGTTCACTGGGGGTACGATTTGGATTTTGAAAAGCCCATGGCCATATGATGCCCACCAAAGGGTCCCCAATCAAAGTTCAGCGCCGAGTGGGCCTACAACAGGCGATCGATTCTTCGCTCGGTGAAAGTTTGGAGCAACCCATTTGAAGGCAAGATCTCGGACGTGGACTCCAGAGAACGGCCCTTCCGGACCCGGTGCAAGAACGCGGCCCGGTTTCATTGGAGGAGGTCGGGTTCTGGTTGGGAGGACCCCCTGTTTTTTCGTTGGGACTTCAAGGGAAGTCAAAAGGAAACCGACCATGGGACCCTGAATTTGCGAGAGACACCCTCAAAATAAACCTCTTCGTTGGTTGCCAACATCACCCTTGGGGCAATCGGGATTTTCTGATCATATGTAGTGTGGGGCTGGCTCCAGGAACAGCTGGTGTTTGTCGTCTTTAGAAAAATGCAGGGGCTGGGACACAACCCAACTATATTCCCTCTAAAGGGTGTGTTATACATGACCTTTTGGGCAGGGTTGGGCGCTTCTAACCCAAAAAGGGGTTGAAAAGGGCAGCAACCCAAATTTCGGGGAGTGCCCTAAGCGTTCTGGATGATTCGTGGGGCAGGGTTCTGCATTCTTTGTCTACGAGGTGGTTTTAGGTGGGGCCAGAATCAAGATTCCCAAGCCGCCGTGGGCCAACTCCGGGCAAGCTTCCGTGTGGCGGGGTGATGCTGCAGATTGACATGGAACCCCAAAACAGGTTCCTAGAGCAGCTCCCTCTAAAAGCGAAGGCTTTTTGCGGTTCCAGGTTGATCAGGAGTATAGAGTCTTAGAGGGCAGACGCATTGGGTTTCAGACCCAGTTCTTTGCGTGTGTTCCTCTGGGGGTGTTTGATCAGGGGCGGTTTGGAGGGGGGCTGGGCTTTTGGTGGTTCAAGTGAACATTTGTGACTTGTGCAAAAGCAAGCTTTCACGTTTATATGAACTTGTGTTGTGGTGGGCCCTTGATCCTTGTGGTAGATGGTGGTGTTTGCCCTTGCAGTGTTGTTTCCCCAGGATCACGGATTGCGACAGTAGGGACCCGCCTGGCTTTCATGCATGGAAACAGACACCAATTGGTTTGGTGATTCCCAGCCATACCGTTAGACTTTTGGCTGCTAGAGTTCAGAGGTACTTGTGATATGTCCGACTAAACCTTTCACTTTTTGCCACACTAGGAACATCGTACTCCCATTTTGAACCACGGCCTTTGTTTTATGCCAAGCGCCCACCAACTTTTCGGGCAAGCCGACCTTGCTTGCTTGTGCTCCCTCGCCGCCTGGGGTGCAGGTGGAGGTGTTCGACCCCAAGGAACCGCCGTTGAAAGAGCGGGACTTTGGGAACTACGGGGTCATCCAGGACGGGGTGGGCAGGAAAAACAGAAACAGGGCAGATGAAACATGAGACAGAATCTGAAGATACGTGTTTCTGTCAGATGTGCGTCAAGGGGTTGGCTTTCGTAACTTCTTTTTCTTTTCTTGGGGGGGGAGGGGGTTGACAACAGGATGAGGTTTCTTAGGCCAATCAGCAGGGATATGGCATGCCGGTTGGGTGTTCCCAACCCAAGCATCATAGGAGGGTGCGATCGACATTTCCTGATTTGTCTATGATCCATTTGGGAGGGAAATGGGGGACGAGCTCTAAGTCTCCCACTAATGCAGGGGACTCGGGGACTCGGGGACTCGCTACTTTTCCCTTGTCCTCTTGGGGAAGCAAGTCATTCTGTCCGCTCTTAGACCGCTTCCCCTGGGTTCGGAATTTGTGCCATTTGGACGACTTGTTTTTGATTCTCGGCAAGGGAGCCTGAGCAGTTCCATGTTCGGAGGAACTCCGACGAGGGCAGTTATCTTGGAGGTTTGAGGTTGAGGTTTGAGGACGGCGGGAGATGGGTGGTTCAAAGGATGGTTCAAAGGATCATCCCCCTATCCTCGCTGATGTGCTTCTACACAGCTCAACAAATCGAAGGACACCAGGGCCACCTTTTCAGGAAACACATTTTTCTACCACTGTAAAAGATTCTTTATGGAGATTGGTGGCAGGGGTTAAGAAGTTCAGGAGCAAGTGTTTGTTCCTCTCGGTTTTCATGCAACCGGCGTTTTTAGAGGCATCTCCGTTTCTGGGACCCCCTTTGGTCGTCCTTCCTGCAGGAGTACATGGTGAACCCATTGCTTCTGGAGTGGCTCGGAAGCGCCATGAGTCAGTCTATGGGAGTGCCGTACGCCTTGCTGCCCGAAGCCGGGGCCACAATTCCCCGAGTTGGGGGGGCCGGCTTTGAGACATGCCCAAAGTGAGCCGTTTCTCGTGACTGAGGTTCATCCTCCCGGGAGGTCTTTCCCATCCAAAAACTGTCATCGTCAGGCCAGCGGTGCCCTTTTATTTTTGCCTTGCGTTTGGAGGGGTTTGCCTTGAAAGTCAACCAACAAAAAGGAGTGCCCCTTTTGTCCCCGGGCTCCGGGGTGTCGCTTTGTTGAGGAACCGGAAGTTCGCGGTGCGGGTCTACATGCTTGTGGCCCGCACAAAGCCTCTGCCGCCTGAATTGCACCCTATTTGTGGAAGTGGCCGAGTGTCTGTTTTTTTTTTTTTTTTTTTTTTTGCGTGTACTTGTTGCTGCAGTTGGAGGGACCTGGTTTTCTTTCGTTGGGCATGGTCAGTGCTAGTGAAGTTGACTTTGCAAAGGTCTGCCTTCTATTTCCAGGTTGGCAAGTGACAGGCCTGTTGGCATGTTTGTCCTTATTTGTTTTTGTGTTTTGCATCTTTTCGTATCAGCGTCTGCATTTTTTGCACTCTTTTGCCTTGCCTTGTTCCCATGGTGTTAATGACGCGCTTGTGTTCCCCTGGTGTTGCTTTGTTTCCACGAGCCGAGCTTTCCACGAGCTGAGCTTCACCCTGAATCGGTGGATTGGAGGTTTAGGGTTGTTCGCCCCATGGGTTTCTAGCATCTGGAAGCTGATTAAGCAGGTTCCTGCCAGCCCCTCAACCCCCAACTAGGCTCCCTTGAAGGAAGCTACGGATAGATTCCCAAGGTCTTATTGTGGTGTGTGTGTGTGTCCTTGGGTCCCCCTAAAAAGGCTGGTTTCAATTCGGATTCTGGTTTCAAGTAGGTAACCATCTAACCATCTAGTGGACCCCATCGATTTTCCCAGGCATCCTAGAGGGTCCGAGTATTCAAATTGTGTACGGTGTTAGGTTTGATGGGCAAATCCTCTCGCAGGTACTTCGATCCTCGAATTCATTTGAGGGTGTGCCCTTTAGGGCTGGATTCGGGTTTGCAACCAGGGTTGGTGAAGACAAGCAGGCGCCTGGTATTTCTGAGGGGAAGAAAGGTTCTCGGAACTTCTGGTGTCGATTTTCCAGACCCTCTAAAAAGCCAGCTTGCAGAGGACACCATATGAAACTCGCCGAAGCCTCTTTACGGATTTGGCAATCATGCGGTGTATGTTCAGCGGCTGGTTTCTTGGGGACCCGCTTTAGGGTACAAATTAGAGCTGGGTAGCGCTGTACTGTGAAACCAAACTACGACTTACTCCCTGACTTCGTGGACTTCATACTTGCGAAGACCATGCTAGGGAGCGAGGAGTTTTTTGGCCAATGCACTCAGGAAAACCGTGAGATCCTCAGCCCCCTCATCTCATTTCCCGCCCCAAATTCGAGCCAGTGGGTCACATACGCCAAAAAAAGAGAGAAAGAAAAACAAGATTTGGCGCGCTGGAACTCTCCGCTCCCGTGTTTCCCGCCCAGTTCCGGGGTCTCCAGAAACCATTCTTGAATTTCAGGGTGGACTGAATATGAAACAGACTCTGAAAACCCGTTTTTCCGTGTACCCTAGATGTGGGCCACGAGTTGTTAGCCCGAGCCAACTTCGAGCCAGTGGGTCAGATACCCTCGATTTGGCGCATGGGAACTCTCCGTTTTCCGTTTGAGGCTAGTGTTCCACTACAACTTCGGGTACATCAAGCGGTGCGGGGAGTTCTACGACGAGAACAAGTTCAACCGGGAGGACCTGTTCCGGCACATCACGCGCCTTGGGCAACAAATCCACCGGCAGTTGGGTATGGGTCAAAATTAAACCACCAGGGGACCACAGGCTTTAGTCATTGTTTCCATTTACCAGGGTGCCATTTTGGGTACCTATTAACCAGGCTCCCGCCTGCTGCCGCCGACCCTCGGCGCATTAAGGGAAAAGTCACAAGGACCGGTCCTGAAACACGTCCGCAAACCCAGGGACCACTTATAAGATCCTCTACGACCACAAACAAGGATAAACGGAAAAATCAGAAATATGGCGGCTAGTCCGTTAATTACCGCTTGGGCCGGCTTGCGCCCAAGTCACTTCGAGTTGGCCCGGGCGCGCCCTGAAACTGGCCCTCCCGAAGTTGCCCTGGACCGGTCGCCGGCAGGGACCGGGACAGGCTGGTCCCAGTCTAGCGCAGTGTCCTGAAACACGGGTGCCAGTCCGGAAAGGCGTCTGGAGCGGTTTGAGTGGCAGGACTCCATCCCGGGACCGGCTTCAGTCCTGAAAGCTCCTGGCCGGGACCAGTCCCAGGACCGGTCCCAGGACCGGTCCCAGGACCGGTCCCAGGACCGGTGCTGGGACCGGTCCCAGGACCAGTCCCAGGACCGGTGCTAAGACCGGTTTCAGGACCAAACCCCGGTCCTGGACCCGCGACTGGTCCGGTCCCAGGACCGGTCCCAGGACTGGTCCCGGGACCGTCCTAGAAATCCACTTTTCGTGTGTTCGGGTGTGACTATCATTGATTCCAATCACTTCCAGTTGCATCCCACGCCGGTCCCCTCTGCAGGAGGCTGGGACGGGAGGCAGAGGGTCGGCGGATTTTTGACCCACAGCCAGTTCGTGCTTTTCGAATTTTTGTTTTGGTCGGGTTCTAAGAAGCCAGCTACAGGACATTCTAGAGAACCTGGCCAAACCCTTGGTGTTGGCGGGTAGTTGGCTAGCTTCCCATAGGATTCTCTGTAACAGTGTGTGCTTTTCTTTGCTTTGATACTTGTCAGTTGAGTTACCACACGCTCTACACTTTTTGTTGGTAGGTACCTTCATCATCTTAGTTAATGTTCCCAGACAGTTTGACGGTCAGGGTAGCTTGGTTGCCAAACTTAACTCCTTCCAGATGTTTTCCCGGGAGAAGCAGCCCATTTGGCGTTGGATTACCCATGAGACCAGCCCATGTGTAGACGCCTTTTTTTAAAGATGTTTTTCTTGTCAAAGCGAAAACCAAAGAAGGACAACCTGTCAAAGGTTTCTTGGACGGGTTGGGCTTTGCTGGGGTTGGAGACATACGCCAGGGGGGGGGAAGGAGGAGAGGGGCAGGTAGGGTTCTCGGGGCGAAAAAAGCGTGGATCACAAGCTTTTCGGACTCGGACGGGCGGGCCCTTCGCCCATCCCCACCCCCTCAAAAATGGATTTGGGGGAGGGGGGGTGCCCCTGCAACTCCATTTGTGGCTCCATTTTCCCTTTTATGGGGAAGACTGGATTCCTAGATAAATGGAATTGGGGACCCCCCACCCCCCTTCCCCTTACGGCAGGGTTGCCTGTTCGTTTCAGGGGGGTCTCTTTTCGCCACCTTTTGTCAGGAAATTAGCGACCCCGGGTCGAACAATTATCCACAGGTGGCAAAAAAAACAAAACATGCTTAGCCCCGGGAAGGAACACAATGTGGTGAATGGGCACCTTGTAAGTGTCAACGGGCGAACCAAACCGATCCTCATGCCGCAGAACTCCAACAGGGCTTTCCTGAAACCGGAAAGGAACCAGGAGTTCCAGAAGAAGCAGGACGACTTCACCACCTCCGCGGCCGCGGAGCTGATGTCCATCGAGCACCTGGACAGATACCTCCAGGCGCCGGGGCGTTTTCGCGGGCGTTCGCTGTCGTGGGCCGGGCCAGGGATTCCGTTTGGGGGAGGGGTGGGTTGGTTCCTGGAGGTTTTGCACGTGAAATACCCAGAGGTTTGAGTTTTGAAGAAACTCCCATGTGGGGGGTGTCCTTTATTTGGTTGGACCTTTCAACATGGTTGGTGTTTTACGGGAAACAAAGGGGACACCAAGCATCTTAGGGATCTATCTTACAACGCACTCATACTTACTGGCTTAGGTTTGGCACCCCCCCAACCCTTCGAAGCACACCAAAGCGGTTCGGTTTTTCTTTTTCTTTTTTTTGGGGGGGAGGGGGGGCGTGCTTGGAAGGTTCCCCCAGAGTGCCATGTTTCAGGACGAAGTGATATTGAGACAGGATTCCGAACCCATTTAGGACGGGATTTGGATCGTTTTTGAGGCGCTGTTCATGGGAGGTTGGGCGTGCATACATGAGTATTTCTGGCAGGTTCCCTGTTGATGTTTGGAAGAGACTCCGCCTTTTGTATCAACATGTACGTCATCACAGGGCCCCCCTTTTCCAAGTCTTGACTGGCCAGTCGAATGAATTGGTTAACGCCATCAGGCCCTGGTACCCCCTTGAACCGGGAGTCTAAAGGAGGTAGTTGAAACAGGAGGATGTTCAAAGACGCCCTCAACAGTACTTAGTAGTTTTTTCCACTTTACAGGAGTTTGGTTGGAGTTGTGACCTTCAATCAGGGTCCCGCTAGTTTTTGGGCAATTCTATACGTGTTCTACCAAGGGCCTGCCCCCCAACGACCTGCGACTGAACGGCAGGAGAACTACGGCATTCCCGCCTTCCGGCTGAACTTCTGGCAGCAGGTGGGAGGGTGAGAGGGCCACGGTGAGGGATGTGGGGGTAGGGTTTGGGTGGAGTCTCTCGCTTTGGTGCTGTTCCGCATCGGACAGTTTGGGTTTAGGGCTGCTTTCTCTGATACCAGGCGAATCCCCGTTGGGCCAACAGTCCTTTTGGAAATGGCTGGGCGTCCTCTGGCGTGATGTCAGGTGCGGGCCTCGGGACTCGGGAGTTTGGGGAGTCCTTTGAGACCTCAAAAGCCCGAAGCGGCCGGACAGTCCCCTTGCCTTTGGCAGCGGATTGCTCTTTGGATTCTTCGATTTGGGTAGACCCCTTTGGATTTAAAACCCGGGGTGAAGATGAACGGAGGGTTCTTGGGTTTGGATTGTCCATGGAGCCCTTTTTCAGAGTGAAGGAAGCAGCGGGGAAGTTTAGACGAAGCCGGGGGTGCCGTGAAAATGGGTCATTGTTCGAAAGAAGCCTATGCAGAGAGCTCCTCAGTTTTCGGAACAGGTAGGTTTTCGTTTGGTTTCCCACACACACCCCAAAGGGTACCAGATCCAAACAAGGACATACGCACGGTTGGGTTGCGGGTGGCTTGGGTTCCGCTTGCACAAAGAGCCTGGAGTCTGCCGGTTTTTTACCGTGACCTTCAAGAAAAGGGATGCCTCGTGATTTGTTTGTTCTTCTCTTTTTTTGTTGGAACGGCCGCTAGGAGGAGCTCCTGTGCTTTGTTTGTTCTTCCCTCATCAGAGTTCCCTTTTAGTGAATCCGCAACCCGCTTTTGTTTGCCTGAGCGGTGAATTGTATCCCCAGTCAGGGGGCTAAATGTGAATTGGGCGGAGCTGATAACTTATTTGAACCAAAGTCTTCGAGTTGTTTTTTTTTTTGTTTTTTAATCTAATCTTAGAAATCTAATGTTTCACTTTATTCTCGACTCACCTTTTGGTGAAAGGCAAAGGAAAGGGAAAAGCTTGATCTGTTTTCCTTTCAACCGGGATCCTTTCACCCTCAGGTGTCTATAGGCCCACGCCTATTTGTTTGGGGAAACCTTTGGTGGTTTTCCCTTCAGTTTCCTCCCATTTTCAAAAGGTACACAAGAAAAGGCACACCCTGGCTTGAGGCCTCAAAGGGGTCAGAGCTCGCCCTCAGGGCTCTCTGAAAAGGGGGTCATTTGAGTAGCTTATACCTGGCAGCCTAGCCACAATCAAAACCGATTCGCGTAGGTGAAGGTTAGTAAGGGACATATATAGTTGCGGCCGCCTTCTTAAGTCTTTACATGGTTCGGGATAGACCATTTTGATACCGGGTTTTGATTATGACTCATTTGGCTTTTGCTAAGGCTCTCATAAACCTTTGGCCTTTATAAGCCATGACCATGTTAGTAGAACCCACAGTCGAATGGTTTTGGCCGCTGCTCAATGTTTGATCCCCCATATCCGTTTGCTCGTTTGCTTTGGTACTACCAACTCCCATTAGGTCTCCGCCACAGCCCGAAAGAAGTCGGAGACACAAAGTCCAACTCGGGCTCAAAGAAGTCACAAAGAACAACCATGCCCGTAGGACTTTTTGACTTTTTGAGCTTAGAGGTGTTTGCGAGATATCCCACCTTAGTGGGATCAACCCACCACCAAGGTTTGGCGGAGTTGTTGGTACTGTGGATGGACGAAGTGATGGTTCCCCTGCAAATACCAACGAACAATGGTTTCCCATGTTTCTTAGGTGGTGCAGGATTTCCTCCATCCACAGTAGGGTCCCGGGGCGTTCCCCGTGTTCCAGCCGAAACGCTCCAGGTGAAGAGCATTTGCATGGAGGTCTGTCTGGGCATGAAGGAGGGCATCGCGGAGACTCAGCTCGAGTGGCCACTGCAGTTCCTTAGACCTTTTGGACTTGAGCCTAGAGGTGCTCAGGATATCCTGAACGACCCTTTTGGATACCCAGCGAAACACTAAAAAGAACACCCTTTTAGGGATCGGCGAGCTGAAGTGAAGTTCTGATATCATGGCGCTGCATTTTTGAAACCGCGCCAGCCACAAGCATGGGCTCGTTCCAGGTTTGATGTTGCCGCAGGAGCTGTGAGTTTGCTTACCATGCTCTTGCTTGCTTAGTGTATGATGTTGCCGAAGCCCGAGGTTGATTCTGGCTGAAGTACCTCAATGGATACTGTCTCGCTGACTTAGGGCTTAGACGGACACCAAAGGGAAAGGAACAATGTTGAATAAACCCGAATCCGACCTTCCGGGGCATCCACAAACCAGCTGGGCCAATCCACCAGCTGAGACCAGTGATCGGGTTATTGCAATTCTCACAGGCCGCTAGTTTCCATTGGTGTGCAAGGGAATGAATGCCATACAGCCAGGATATGCAAATGCCACTGGCACATGCAATCAACAGTTCAGTGCACGGAGAGGTTCGACATATCCAGTCTAAGGTTTATGGTGCATTTGGGAGGGGACCTCTGCTTTTAGCACCTCTTTTGCACCTCTTGTTTGAGGCCTTACAAGGCCTTAGCCTTCCCTGAAAAGGCTTATTAAGCCCTACCATGATGAGGTCTTTGCGGCCTCTGGTTGCACGTGCCCGCTCAAGAAAGGGTGGCTTAGACATATTTAAACAAGAGCTTGGCGGCTTGGACCAATCCGGAAACCGTTCATGTGCTTTGGAGGGCGGGGCAACCATTTGGTAGAGTCCGTGACTGCAAGGAAGCAACCCCGTTGAGAACCACCAAAACCCACACGACTTGGCCCTGCAGTAAGGAGAAGGGCAAGCTGGGTCAGTTCGAAGTCTTTGGCATGGACGTGATCGTGGACGCGGACCAGCGGGTCTACATGCTGGAGGCGAACCGAGACCCCTCGCGGCCCGGCTTCGGAAATCTTCGGGGGGGGGGGGTGTCTTTGCTTGGGGCTCGAGCATTGATTACACATATATATATATATATATATGTATATATATACACGGTCGCCCCCCCCCCCCCAAAGATCCACCCCCAGCTTTGGACACAGCTAAAACACTGCCAAAACACTGTAATTTACAGTGTTTTGAGCAGCTTTAAACTGTTTGAAGCAGATGAAAAGCAAAACGGGTTTCGTTTAGATTTGACATTGTTTTTGTCAGATGGGTTGATCCTGGACAAGATGTGATGCTGGCAGATGTTTTGGTTTCAGTAGGCTTTTTCGTAGAGTACTTGCAGCTTTTTTTTGTGCCCGAAGAAGGATAGGCAAGCAGAAGCTTGCAGATGATTTGTGATTGAAGTGCGTTGAACGTGTTTAAACAACCTCCTTTTTATTGCATTTTTTTCAGTTTGGGAAGGTCATGGTGCTCAAAGTGCTGTACTGTCCCGATAGTTTTTGATTCCAAAGCAAAAACATAGGGACAGTACAGCACTTTTGAGGTCACGGCGCTCCAAAGTGCCGTGCTGTCCCTATTTTTTCTGTTTTCAAAGCCAAACAATAGGGACAGTACAGCACTTTGGAGATCAGGGTGCTCAAAGTGCTGTACTGTCCCTTTTTTGTTGTTGTTTCCAAATGAAAGAATAGGGACAGTACAGCACTTTGAAGATCAGGGTGCTCAAAGTGCTGTACTGTCCCCATTTTTTGTGTTTCCAAATCACAAAATAGGGACAGTATAGCACTTTGGAGATCAGGGTGCTCAAAGTGCTGTACTGTCGCTATTTTTTTGCTTTGGAGATGCAACAGTGCTGTACTGTCCCTAAAACACCTAAAAAACAATTATTTCAGAGTCTTGCATGGCTAAGAGCCTGAGACCTCCACATAATTGGGTTTTTAGGTTTTTTAGGGACAGTTGGCTCTTCAAAGCAACAAAAATAGGGACAGTACAGCACTTTTGAGGTCAGGGTGCTCCAAAGTGCTGTACTGTCCCTATTTTTTTGCTTTGGAGAGCCAATAGTGATGTACTGCCCCTAAGAAACCTAAACCACCAATCATTTGTAGGTTTCAGGCTCTTTGCCATGCAACGTGTAAGGACAATTCTATTGGAAAAGGAATTCCCGTGTAACATTTACGTTGAACTAGATTAATCACAATTTAACAGATAATTTAACATATACAATTTGATTGGAGTCTTTCCTTGATAATTTCTAGTTAATTTCAGTCTGATTTCAGAAGGGGAGAATTCAGAGGTCAGAAATTGTGTTTTTTTGTGTGTACTAGCCCCAGAACTACCATGGCCAGAAAACACCGTAAAACACAGTGTTTTGTAGCGTTTTTTCGTACTCAATTCACATTTCCACCAACGGCTGCTCTCTAAAATTCAGTTTGAATTTGAATAGGATTTATTTCAATAGGACTCAATAAGGAAATACTTGATCAGAATCCTACTGGAAGTTACATCTTACATTTAGAATTTAGATGTAAATCCTTGCCCAATAGAACATTACAATTTTAAATTAGAGGTTAAACATAATTTGATAAGGAATGAATCCAATCACAACTTCTGTTTCATAATAGAATTTGAATTAGAATAATTCTAGTTTAATTGATGGTTTACACAGTATGTTCTTTCCAATCAAATTTCATTACAATTCAGCTAACCTTTAAGCACACCTTATGCAAACATAGTTCAACTCGAGTTTCCACTCAAAAAGTGAAAGAAGCGCACGTTCACAGCGTCCTGCTCTCAAAGGGAATTATATATATATATGTATTCACACCCAAAAAGGATTTTGGACACCAACATATACTCAAAACAGCCCAAAGGTGGATCTTGGCGGGGCGGGGCGAGCATATATATATATATATGACATTTGGCATTGATAATTAATGACATTTCCTCTGACTTGCAATTATGGTCCTGGCATTGATTTTCAGTGACATATCTTCTGATTTGTAATTATGGTCCTGGCATGGATTTTCAATGACATTGCCTCTGATTTGTATGGTCCTGGCATTGATTGTTAATGACATTTCCTCTGATTTGTAATTATGGTCCTGGCATTGATTTTCAATGACATTTCCTCTGATTTGTATGGTCCTGGCATTGATTTTCAATGACATTTTCTCTGATTTGTATGGTCCTGGCATTGATTTTCAATGACATTTCTTCTGATTTGTAATTATGGTCCTGACATCGATTTTCAATGACATTTCCTCTGATTTGTATGGTCCTGGCATTGATTTTCAATGACATTTCTTCTGATTTGTAATTATGGTCCTGGCATCGATTTTCAATGAATTTTCAATGACATTTCCTGTGATTTGTATGGTCCTGCGGGCGTGGCCCTGTAAAGTCAACCCAAAAAGTTTCCTCTAATCTGAATGGTCCGGATTCATCCGACATTAAATGGATCCTTATATTGCCCTTTCGTACGATTTCGACGGCACATGTCTGGCCATCTTCAATTGAGTTTCCCTTTGGTGCGCGGATGTGATGAAATCCACTTCGTGCCAGTTGGGATGGATGAACTCTTATGAATAGTTGGTCGTATTTGAAGACAACCGCAAGAAGAGCAAGGTGACTTTCGGGAATTGCAGGGTAGCGGTGTTGGCAAAGTTCTATTTTACAAGTGCGTTTCCAAGCTGTATGTTTGTGTCTGAACATGTGTTCGACTAAAAGGGCGACATGTACAGATTTTCACACAACAGTCGCAGCTGATTTCCTCTTGGCATGAAGCTCACACCTCCTCGAGGAAAACTGGATTCTGGTCCAGGTGTGCGTGTGTGTCAATATAGGTGCAACCCCAAAACGGTGTTCCCTTTGATTTCCCGCCAAACCAAGCTGACAAGGGCACGCTTAAACAAAAATCGCAAGCTGAGGTGGGTCATGGACACGCAAGTCAAGAAGGCCATCATCCCTGACATGGTCCGGGAAATGATGGAGATCGTGCTTTGGGCGCACAGCGACGAGGGGAAGAACAAAGAGGCGCTCGCGAACCTCCAGTTGTTTAAAACTTGGGAAACCCCACTTCTGTGATTACCTCCTCCCGCTTTGGAGTGAAGCCTTCTTGTACTTTCTTGAATTTTAGAGTTTGGAGGTACTTACGACATATCCAACTAACAACTACATGTAGTACAAGGGATGAGCCTACCACTGATATAAGTCCTAGTTTGCTAATGACATATTCTCATCAATGTTTCATGTGTACACCAAAGCTTGGGGATGGTCAAAAAACATGGCCCCTTCTCAACCCTGGTGGCGCTACCAACAAGTGCCCGATTGTTAAATAAATATAATATCAGTTATTCAAATATTGTCTATTGAAACTAGTGCCATTGACTTCGAAAGGACATCTAATCTTACACAATTATGTATTTATTTCAATCTAGTTCAAAAAGCATATAGACCACATAAATTAGATATAGATTATGACAACTTCTGCAGTTGGTGAATAAACCATCCTCGTCAATGCTTTCCGTCAAGGGATGGAAGTCATGGTTTGATTGTACCCTCCTCGCGCGACCCTAGAGGCCATGCTGCATTCTCCGATGAGAGGCTTCGAGGTACTGATCGACGAGGCGTTCGACTTCCAAGCCGTCGACGTGGAGTGAGATCTGTAAGATCTGTTTCAGGGATCCCACGAGATTTCCCCTTTGGAGAAACCGAGCCGCGAGGTTTGACGTTTACTTTACTTTTTGGCTACCAACTTTTTTCGGAGTGGGCTTTTGGAGGATAACGACGGTGTGTCACATTTCAGCTTTGAACTGCCAACTTTTAGTTTCCTCTTTGAGTGAGAAGTTAGGGGAAATATTGGGAGCTCTGTGTTTTGGTCGGTGAGACTCTTCCGTTTCGTTAGGGATAAAGAACCCCCGGAGCGGTTTGAGCCGCCCGGGTGCAGCCAACAGGGCTGCGGTTAGTGAAAAGACCGAATCGCAAAAAGAAGAAGAAAGAAACGAGTGACTGCCGCAGCTTCGTTGTCTCACTTCCTGAGGTTTTTGATGATGTTGCTGGAATGACCATGTGAGTGGCAAATAGACAGTTTGGGCCCAAAGGCCCATCTCAGGAAGTGGCGTTTTGCTGGCCAACGACATGTCGGTGACAGACATCGCACACGTTCTCCCCCAATAAAAGGACTCGTCACCCACACATATACATCTTAGCCAACAAGGGGGCTCTTCCCCCGTACAAGGGAAGTCATATATGGCAGGTCTCCCCAATGTTGTTCCTTTGGGTAGGTGGGGGGGATCTCACATACCAAGGTTTGGGATGTTATGCGCATCATGACTGGGCCGCCTGTGTAGTGGATTCCCTGCACCAGTTGCTAGGTGGTTTGCCCCAGTACTCACAGGGTTTGCAATGGATTTGGTCCGTTCACTGTATGCTCGTCAAGGGACTCCGATGGTAGCCCTCGGCATAGGCCAAGAGCGGTGCCAAAAGCCCAACCCTCCCCCAGTCCATGGCCAACCACCAGAAAAGGAATATGGAAATCCAATTTCGGGTGAACCAACAGCACAACAAGCCGGTAACACAGTGTTTGGATTGTCGACCGTTTTCAAACCGTGAGTACAGAGGATGTCCATCTCTTGGGAAGCCTTGGGCCGTGATTTGATCTGATGGGTATGGAGCTCAAAGAGGGTTGGAGGTGCCTCGTGGAAACTTTGCTGTCCGACCCCGGGGGGTTGGGAGGATCACGCAGCCCCAAAAGGAAATCACAAGGGGATGGAAAGGAGGTTTGGTCGAACAGTCCGGTGTGGACCATTTGAGACTTGCTCATTTTCCAACACAGATCCGGGACTCGCCAAATTTCCCATGTCTGCTTTGGGGAAGCAACCAATTTTGACCGCGTTTCATGTGTTTCTCGATTTTCCCAGATTCCAACATATTTTTCCAAACTCTCCAATTTTCCCATATTTTCTCATGGAACAACACCGTTGGTCTCATCAGCCCAGGTCACCGACAGAAAGGGAATGATGCCATCAACTTTGACCCATCTCAGCTTGTCTGAGGTCTGGATTGGTGGGGTAATTCCCATTGTATCGGTTGGGGTCGTCTTAGTTGGTAGAAGGGTACACTTTTTCAGACTGACTAACAGCCGGAAGCTCCCCCAATTGGCCTCCACAGACGGAACCAAGTCTTCCAAAGGGTTCTGGGAGCTTCCATGTCTTGTTGGTGCTCAGTAGGGAATGACCCAGGGTTTTGGGAAGAACCAATTGAATCCCTTAAAGGAAGTTTATAGGGGTCATTCCACTTCTCATTCCCTGCTGAGAACCACCAAGATGTTGTCCTGGGGAGGCCCTGCGGTTGCGTTAGTTCGATCGGTATTTTCCGAGGGCCGAGGATTGCCAGATGGGCGCATGGACTGCCTGGAGCGCGCTCGGGGGCCGAAGGGACTAGCCTCAAGCCGGCCTTGGCTTCAAGGGAAGATGGTTGCCGGACCTGGTTTCCTGGTGGTTTGGAAAGGGTTGGAGAAGAATGGTTGGACGTTACTGGACATGACTTTTGCAACTCACCTTGGTGCCCTTTTGGGTTCCTTCATATGGTTTGACCTTGGACACAGCAACAAGTTGTCACCTTTTTGCAGCGATGAAGGTGCGTTGAGCCTGATTTCAGGCCTTCCTTTCAGGTGATTTTTCAAGGGGACATACAGGGAGATGTGGTGTGGTTTCAGGGTCGGAGATGTGGTGTGGTTTTCTTGGGCCTCCCACTTTAGTTCCACCATCTGTGCTACGGTTATTTGCTTGAGCAGCCGGTTTCAGGTGAACTTGGTGGCTCCCGTCCATACGGTTCCTTCGACTTCTGGAGTTTAGAGGTGGTTGTGACACATCCCGCCAAAAGTTTTAAGGGATCAACAAACCACTCAGTGACTTAGAGTAGCCGGCCTTGGCAGGTCTCAAAAGAACCACAAGAGCAATGCGGGCTTGAGCACATGATGCCGGGGCATCACAAAGTGGTTGCAGCTTGACTTCGAGCCGCGGGGCCGGCCAACAAGGTGGCTGGAATGAGCTGGACTGGGCGTGACGGGGCTTAGGAGGCAAGGCCTGGCTTCAGCTGGCAGCAGGGTGACCCCTGAGCCAGGGTGTAGCGAAAGTTGAGTTGTCGGCTCGGCCTGGGCGCGGGGCTTGGGCGCGCGCCAGGCTGTGTTGACATGACGCCTTTTACGTTGACGTCTTCCTACAGCAGCTCCGCCTTCCCCAAACTTCCGCCGTGTGCTTTAGATTTTGCCGACCTCGCTCGCTCTCACGTGACAAGCTACGCGTGATTCACCGTTGTTTGAAGATATGGTTCTCATTTACGAAGCCGTAAGAAGAATCGCTTTGGCGGTCTTGGATTTAGCCTTAGCAGGGGCGGGTTCGAAAGCTTCTCGCCCCCCCCCCCTTCGGCAGAAGCAAATAAGACGATTCCCAACCAATTGCTCACAGCTGGGGTGGACAAAAGCAGGGGCATGTTTTCAGGTGTTGCCTGAACCTCAGGCATCTCCTGAAACGATCAGTTCAGTTTGCTGCTTCCCTTTCAGAAAGGGCTTTGTCCACCTGCTGCATGAGTTTGAAAAACGGTAAGCGCTGAAAGCCATTGACTCAAAGGGATCCCTAGATGTACAAAAGCCTGTTGAGTACATTAGCCATGGCGTAGTTTTTGTCATGGCGTATTTCTGCTCGTGCCTTGAGTTTTGCTCGTAGCCGCAGGGCGAAAGCCGCTTTGTCAATGTGTGACAAATTTTGGATTGCGCTCGCTCGCGCTCGCCCCACGCAGGGGGGCGTTTCTCGCAGTCTAACGGCAATAGGTCGCCCGGCCGCCTTGTTCGGCGGTTTTTGCGTTGAGTTTGTGTGGAAGTTCTTGCAATGCAGATGGTGATGCTGGTGATGCTGGTGATGCTGGCCATCATGTTCCCTCACCAGTCAAGCTGACAACAACCAGGGTGGGGCAACAAACGTTGAGTTCTTGAATCATTGACGGACCTCAGGGCACAAAAGCTCGGGCTGAATCCTCGAACCTTCATCCCCGATTTTCCCATTGGGTTCCAAATAAAGGGGGAACACGAACGCTGAGTTCAATCATTTTGGCTATTGTGCAATCACCAAACGGTCCGTATTTGACAGGCCTACGCCGAGCAACTTGCAGGATTGGTTTTCTTCGGCACCGGTCACTTCCCTGTAGCTGAACAAGTTTGCTTCAGCAACCCAACATTTGGGTTTTGGCAGCATGGCTGGTCGTTGGTAGAGCCATAGCGCAAGCCTTAGCCCGTCGGGTCCTTTGAAAGATCGTTAGACGATCCCTAAGGAAATCCTTGGACTCAACCAAATGTTGCCCATGGTCAAAAGGATTCGCGTTTTTTTTTCTTTTTTCGCGGTGCTGTTAGAGCTGCCCGGCTTTTCCGCCGGACCAGAAGGAACCCCAAGAACATGTAGGGGCAATGGTCAGTGAGCCAAGCGGGCAACTGGAGCTTGGGGGACAGTCCTAACCTTTGTGTTCTTTGCATGGTTTTGGTCACGGCCGTTACCAGGTTTTGATTGTGACTCATGTTCATTAGTGAAATCAGCGGTTTCCATTTGCTTAAGGCATGGTGACGGGACATGGGGTAGGGCGACTTTCTGTGTACAGTGCCATGGTTTTGTGGTGTATGGTTGGTTTACTTGCAACGATCATGGGCCAACATTTGGTATCATCTTTCATCTTTGCCAGTCACTAAAATGACAAGCAACGAGCAATCATTCCCCCTCCCAGGTTTGACCATTGACCAAGCTTTAGGGCATCCGTACCAAGGTGCGACGGGCACGCGCTGAACCAGCGCTATCGCGAGCGGCCCATAGTGGAGCCCGCGACGGGCGGAGGCGGGAAATTCACGTCGGCGGGGGGGGCTCTGTGGTGAGGCGCAAAAGGCGGTGAGCGGATGTGGCAGGCGCAGAGTTTGTTCTTTGATCTGAGCACTTCGTTCTTTGTGGTTTCTTCTTTGGTTGTTGGCAATTTGTCGCGTCTTGGTTTGTGGGTGTGTTCTGGCTGCTTGTCGTTTTGGGTGAGCAAGGTGCGTCGCACAAATACCAGAGCTGGCTTTTGGTGGTGTTCAATGTCATTGCAAGAAGGATGGTTGTCCTCTTGTGCCCTTTGCAGACCCCCCCCCCCCCCACAGATTAACATGGAACTCAAACTGCCATCGCGTGTTCGGCTATTTTTGGGGATGCACTGGTTGCCATTCCTTGTTTGGAAGCCTTTTTTTTGAGGGGACATCAAGCAGTAGACTCCATGGGTCACATTTTGTCTGATGGGCCCGCCGTTTCTGAGCATATAGGAGTGTTTCCTCAAATCGGGGACTTCAGCACAAAACGGTTGGAACCTCAACTCCAAATGGTTGGACTTATTTTGTCTGAGCTTCGGAGTAATCCCGAGGACCATACCAATCAGGGCTGGTTCCAGTGCGGAATGAACCAATTTTAGGTGTCCTGCAAATTGACGCCTTGAAAGCCCAGTCTTCTGGGGAAGCGCCTTTGGTTGGAACCTTGTTTCAGATGTCAACTTTCAGTGTATATTGTGAGTTAGTGCCGGGGTTCAAGGTCAACGCACTTGCAACAACACGTGTGAGTTGCTTGCTACGTTGAAAGGATCTGACGGCATGAGT